CTGAAGAACTTCAGCACTCTGAGTGGACTATAAACCCCGTCACAGAATCACCTCAACTGCATGCACAAATAAAGAGACTTGTTAAAGAAAGTATCAAGGGCTTCTCTAAGCACAGCCCTAGTTAAATGCAGCTTTTAAGGTGCAATTCTTTGCTTTTGCTAAATACAATATTTTGAACATCACACACTAATGTTACATTAGCTGGAATCCTTAGGGCTGTATTCAAGAACAAAATGTTCAAAGTTATCTCCAAGGGCTTTACCTAGAAACCCAATTCAGGTGCCAGCAGAATGAAATCTGAATCAGCTGCTGAAAGGAAAAAAAACTATTCGCCAAACCAGAACAATTCTAACAAGGGTCAGCCCTCAACATGCCGCTTTTCACTCCATCATAAGTGGCAAAAGGCAGAGAAGGAGACAACACACACCCAGCCTGGATTTGTACAACTGTGTTCAGAGCAGGTTGACTATGTACATGTCTGGTTGCAGCCTCGACCGCACCAGTGTGCCTCATGCAGCATTTTGGATAAACTGATGAGTTTATGCCAGATCCACCCATTATCAGAGACGTAAAATTTCCAGAAATTTTGAAATCAGAGAAAAAAAGGAAACTGGTGGGGGTGGGGAGAAATTGAAATATATGTAATACTTTTTAATCAAACTTAAACTTCCTTTAATGATTTAGCACCATAAATAGCACCACATATAGCTCAGTTTGCATGTAAAACTGTACTACTTGGCATATTCATGGAATTTAACCTGAGATATTTTTGTTTTCTGTAAGAAAAACTAATCATACTCAGTATTTGAGGAACTGCTGTACCCTATGTTACCACAGCACATGTACTTAATTTTTGCCATTTGAGTGGCAGGTGAAAAAAAAAATGAAGCAAAAGGCAGAAAATGAATTAGGTAGTACACCAAAGAAAGTATGTTATGTGGACAGACAGATCCAGGTGGGTAGCCATGTTGGTCTGAAGCAACAGACCAAAGTCTGATTCCAGTGGCACCTTTAAGACCAACAAATTACCAGCATGTTTGGATATAAAACTAAACTTTGTAACACTGAAAACACTGAAATCTTTAATAATGTATTATCACTAAACACATTAAATTATATCAATTGTTGCCAAAATTATTTACATTTAAACAAAAACAATCTTGAAAATATGGTATATGTCAGCTATGTATGTGAATTATCATTAACTAATGTAGAACGTCTTTAAATAAAAATTGTCATACTACATAATTTGAGTAAAACCTTCTCTTTCATTTCATTCTAAAACAAAAAAAATTACAGGAGTTTTTCCTGGCGTTCCTCCAAATTTCCCAATTTTTCACTGGAAAAAAAATAAGGAAGTCCTCAATCTTTTTTCATGCTATGCATTTGGAATGAGTGAAATGCTTTTTGTGATGGGGTTTTCTTACTCAAAAAGGGAGACATTTTATAGAAGGTGTTAATTTGTGTTTTTTGTGTTCCCCGCAAATTCCCAGCTTTTCTACAGAAAAAAAATGAAAAAGTCCTTAGACTTTTACATGGCGTACATTCAGATGTGAAAACACTTATGTTAAGAAGCATTCCACTCATTCTAGAAGGGGAAAAAATATTTTCATAGGAAAAATTGAAAAAAATACCCGGGGGGGGGGGACAACTCCCCATCCCCTGAATTTCCCCCTTTTTCCTAGGCCTTCAAATCCCTAACCATGATGCTGGTGGCCATGATTTTGAGTAATAATACTGAAACACATTTGGCAGATCAAGAGAAACTCTGTGTATTTTTGAATCTCTGTTCATCCAGGTCATTTCAAAGAAATCTATATCTGCACACCTGACAGGTGAAAGTCACAGCCTTAAAGTACTAGTAAGAACAACAGGGGGAAAAGCAGTTTCCATTTGGCTCAGCAGAAGCATTCTAGGCCCCGGTCACATGGGCCGGATATCAGGGGGGAGGCGTGGCTAATTGCCCTGGCACAGTTTGATCCGCGATTACGCGATCAGACGGGCCGGCGGCACACCACGGGTCCTTCCCTCGGCGCCAGCGGGTAAACGAGGGACCGGAGGGGAATGCCGCGCACCGGCGGGATCACACCACGGGCGTCTGGAGGCAGCCCGTGGCAAACGTTTACTAGTTTGCCCTTGGAGGTACTAGTTTTTAAATGCGCATTGTCGGCGGTAAGCCACGGGTGCGCTCCACTTCCCAGATGTTGGGGTGTGATCGTGCCCGGATAATCTGCCCACCTTCCGTGCCTCTCCTGCGGCAACTTTGCCATGTTGTCTAAAGCCGACATCCTGAAACTGTTGTTGGTCTCTAAGGTACTCGTGGACTCAAATCTAACTAAAAAACAAACAGACACCCTACACCAGTGAAAGTAAACTTGAAAAAAGTGCCATCTCCTGTTTTGTATTCCCTGTCCTCTAGAACCAACCTGGTGGTCCCTATCAGCTCCAGACTCTGTTCTGACAGACAGCAGGCTTGACAAGCAGAACCCATTAATCACCCAAAAGAGCAAACCAGAACAGCATTCAAGCAGATTACACACAGGTGTGGTCTTAGAAATGCCCTGACCTGCAAGGCACAGGGTCAGACCCAGTTAGTGCTTGGATGGGAAACCACCAGGTGAGTCCAGGGTTGCTCTGCAGAGGCAGGCGATGGCAAACTGCCTCTGAATGTCTCTCGCCTTGACCTAGATGGCTCAAAATTAGCCTGATCTTGGCAGATCACAGAAGCTAAGCATTGTCAGCCCTAGCTGGTACTTAGATGGGAGACCACCAGGTCCAGGGTCACTACACAGAGGTAGGTAATGGCAAGCCACCTCTGAATGTCTCTTGCCTTGGACCACCAACCCCGCACTTTAAGATTTTGCAGGAAGATTTTGCAGGATGGGTATGTTCCAGTCAATGAAGCGGCAAGTTCTCAGACAGCTTTGGTGAAGTTCTTTAAGTACTGATGGGTAAGAATGAATGGCAGAGGTTCTTCTTGAGTCCATTTTGGATTATGCACAGTAGAGTGTTATATATACTAATTGTATGATTTTATATTAGCTATACATACACTGCGAGTCTGAAACAGAAGAACATCCGTTGTTATCTGTTGGATCGCTATGAAGCAGTTTTGGGTTGCTATAAGCAGTATATAAATACTTTTTACTTTACCACTGGAAAGAACTGTTCTAACGATATCTTCACAAAGAAAACTACAAAAAGGAAGTTTTTCAAATATAATATGGTTGTTAAAAAATTGTGATACCCTGTTGAAGTTATTCTAAGTGTATGAGAATCTTTCATGCTAGTAGAAAGATACTGACATTACTGATGTATATATCTTTAAATAGGCACAGTTAGGATTGCAATATGACTTGTGAAGCACAACATATGCTTATATGTGAATGTTACCTGTTAGAATGATTTCAGTATAGAGTACAACATGTTAGTTTTACATGGTGTCACATTGTTTACTCTATTGGATCATCATAAGTCAGATGTGACCTGATGGCATGTTCCTCCACCACTGGTCTTAGAAGCACACACTATAAGTCTATGAAAATGTCTGTGCACTCTGCAAAGCATTCCATTAAATTTAGGGTCCTTCAGACAGGAGTCCTGATGCGGGGCTTGGCCATGGCCAACTGTACAGTGAACACAATGGGATGATGATGGAGGTGGGGGGGAGAGTGACAGACAGATCAGGCAACACCCCAGTTCTGACAAAGCAGCCTCTGGCTCATGAAAGCTTCTGCCCCACTAGATGCGCTATTATTTAAAGGTGCCACAAGATTCTTTGTCATTTTGGCTGCAGCAGTTTAACATGGCTGGAGAAGCCACTGTTTGTAGACTCGTTAATTAATCCATTTCAATTTCTTTGGCAAAGGAATAACTAAATTGTCATCTCACAAAGCAATCTGCATTTCTTTATAATCTTGTTATCTAACTAAATAAAAGAAATCTAACTAAAAGAAAGAAGACAGGATGGCATATGGCAAATTCCATTTATGTCTTAAGCTCTCACTGAACAAGTTGGCTATTTTGGATGCCCCTCACCCGTAGTTTTCTGTGGAAATTTTAAGCTAACAATTACATTCTCTGATTTTAAGCATTAGCTTTTATTTTATTTATGCACAATTAATCATATGGTATCGTCTCCCAGTGAAAGTAAAGTACACTTTCAAGCCAAGATGGAAACAGGACTTGATGAAGTCCATCCTATAGCTTGAATTTCCTCCTCCTTGTTTCACTCCAATTTGCCAATACCTGTTCTGTG